CTCTAGGTCTGAGGGAACTCTCTCTCTCTCTCTTCCTCTCTCTCTCTCTCTCTCTCTCTCTCTCTCTCTCTCTCTCTCTCTCACACACACACACACACACCTGTTCTGGCCACCTAACACGCAGGCACATGAGCGTGTGTGCCCTCACAGACACATGCACACAAATCTTTTTTTTAATTAAATGTAGAATAACCGTATAACCCAACAGTTCAACTTGTGGGTATACATCTGAAATGGAAAAAGTAGTGAAAACAGAAAACACAAGGTCAAAGAGATACATGTACACATTTCCTGAGGCATTATTCACAATTGCCTAGTGATAGCAGTGGCCTAAATGTCTACCAACAGGTGAACAGATAAAGGAAATGTGACAAAAACACACAACAGAATATTTCTCAGTCTTAAAAGGAAGAGACCGTGGGCATGTGCTACAATGAAGCCTTAAGGACTGACCAGTTCGGGGAGTATGAACCTGATATGAGTCCCAGCCTCAGAATGGACTAAGACAGTAACAAAAAAGACAACCACTTTGTGAGATGTATGAGGTACTTATAACTCCCAAACTCTTCCTGGGAGGCAGGCAGCTGCCAGAAGTTTGGGGGATCTGATCCAAAGAGAAGCTCCATTTTGCAAGATGAAAAGATTCTGGAAATTAGTCTTCCAACAGTGGGGTCTGTGGTTGGCTGCTGTAAAAGGTCATTTCAAAATCGTAAAGATGCGAAACTTTCTGCTTTGTGTTTTGGACCACAAGAAGAAAAAAGACTTTCAAAACATCGTGCTTGTTAAGAAATCTCAGTCAAGTCCCTTTACAAAGTTGCAAGCAACAGCCAGGAAATTGGGTCACGTTCTAGAACCGCATTACAATCTAAAGCGTCCCTATCTGTTTTGAGACAGCTCTCTCTGTGTAGCTCAGGCTAGCCTCAACTTTGCCATCCTCCTATCCTAGCCACTGGGATTTCAGGTGTAGCCACCATGTTCGGTTGAAACTTTCCGACTATGATACTGATTGATATCACAGTCACTGATATGATGCTGTGTACAGTTAGAGGCACAGGTTTTAAACAGGGAGAAAATATGATCAGAGAGGCTCACTTTTGAGCTGGATATTAAAATATGTAGACTGGGGGACGGGAAACACCAGGGCAGAAGGAGGAAAGTCAGGGAGGAAAGACGGAAAAAGGCAGGATGTGTGGTGAGGAGAGAGAGGGAGGGGGGAGAGAGGGAGGGGGAAGGAGGGGGAGGGAGAGAGAGAGAGAGAGAGAGAGAGAGAGAGAGAGAGAGAGAGAGAGAGAGAGAGAGAGAGATGGAGGCTGGAGAGAAGAGAGAAGACCTTAGAGGGTAGAATTCAGGGCTGGACCAGGCGCTGATGGAAGCTGAGGCACGTGAGACACACGGAGCCTGACAAAGGCACGGCTTGGAAATTTGAAGATGGTGGCGTTCCGACTCAGGGCACCTACTGCTGCTCCTAGGCAGCAGGCAGTGAGGCAGCCCTGCTGGTAGCAGGCAACCTTCCCTTGACCCCGTCAGGAAGTCACCAAGAAATCCCCCATTCCCATAAATTAAAGACTACAGTGGTAGCCTGACAGTTTAGGGGAAAACAGCAGGAGCTTCGCAGCTGTCCCTGCCAGTAGGGGTCTTTAGCACCCCTGGCCAGGAGTGGGGGTAGGTAAGGTAAGATTCATTCAGGTTTCCTGAGACCACTTAGGGTGAGAAGGGAGGGACATGAAGCTTTCTTGATCATCTTCTACAGAGTCAGCCTCTGCTTCCAAGGGGAGCAAGGTGGGGGGGGGGACACTGGTGATGGAAATGGGCTCAGAGTCCGTGACTGGAGGATCCTGGGCCAGCCAGAGTGAGAAGCAATTTAACACTGGTTCTTACCCCTACCCCACAGCTCTGGTGCTAATTGATTACTATTGGAGTTTAGGAAGACAAGATTGCAAGACGTTCATATATCCCACCGACCCAGGAAGCTCCTGCCTCCACCTCCTAGGTGTTGGGATACCAGACATTCACTATGACATCTTATTCATGAAGCTATTGAGGATCAAACCTTCAGGCAGGCTCCGGTACTCTACCCACTGAGCTCAACCCCCAGCCCCTCAGCCTGTATCCTTAAGCAGTGGTTCTCAACTTTCCATTGCTGTGACCTTTAATACAGTTCCCCATGTTGTGGTGTCCCCCAACCATAAGATTATTTTCATCGCTACTTCATAACTGTAATTTTGCTACTAGTATGAATTGTAATGTAAATATCTGCGTTTCCCGATGACCTTAGGTGACCCCTAAGAAAAGGGTTGTTGACACCCCAGAGGAGTCTCGGACCCACAGGTTGAGAACCACTGTTCTAAAGGCTTAGTTCAGGAAGAATGGACTTAATACCATCCACAGCTGCCATAGGGCTTTCATTATGCACCAGAAAGCAATGTCAATTTTTCAGATCACTGAACTTAACCTTCCCAGTTGCTCTAGGTGTTAAGTAACGTTGTTACAGTGTCATTTCTTAGCTCCTGGTAAGTAGAGGCTGCAAGAAGGTAATAGCTTTCTGGAGATTGCAATGACCCTATCCTTCCAGCTACCTGACAATGTAGCACAGTGGTCAAGGCTAGTCACCTTCCCTGAAGTGGCTCATGGGGACTTGAATGAGGCACTCCAGACCCCAACAATCAAGATAAAGAATGTTTGAGTACATTGGGAAGTAGAGACAGATGCATCAAGAAGTTCAAGGCCGGCCTTGGTACATAGTGAGTTTGAGGCCAACCTGGCCTGCTTGAGACCCTGTCTCAAATAAACAAAACAAAACAAGAATCAAAATTAAATATCTGAGGATGTGGCTCCGCGTAGGAACCCTTCCCAGATGGACCAGGCTCTAGGTTGAGTTCCCAGGCCCCTTATAGTAATCTACGACACACAACAAAACCCCTTAATTAGAGGATTTGGGATGACTTCAGATCCTGGGGTAACTGGGGTTTTTTTCTGTGGGTTTGTCTCTTTTGAGATTTCCAAGTTCTGCAGTCAGTTGTGAGCCTTGCCTGTGACCCACCCCCAATCCCGCCTGTGGGGCCCTTAGGAAGCTGACCTTCCTGCCTCCTCCTTCCTCTGCAGTTAAATTCCAGCGGCAGACACAAGCACCTGGGCAATAAAGATCTCCCCGCTGACCAGCCACATAGGATGCAGGGAAAGTCAGCTCACCCGGCCCCCACTCCTACTGTCTGTTTCCACTGCTGATCTGGAAGAGCCCCAAGTGAGAGGACCAGGGCTCTCAATAAGCCTCTGGGTCAGAGGCTGACTTTCTGATGAGCCATGCGCATGCTCACTTTCTAAAGCCCTGCTATTGGCTACCTACCAAAAGGGAAGATGGTCCATTGGGTTTTGCTGAAACTTCGCTTGAGTCCAGAAATCTCTTTTCCCCACACCCTTGGCCCTCAGTCGACTGGAGAGTGGCTAGATGCTGCAAGGTGTCAACATAACTAGAGGACCAAGAGTGGCAGGCACCGGCGGGGAGAGAGCTGAAGCTCTAGGTGGGTAGGGCATGCCCACCCAAATGATTCACTCGCCTGAGTTAGTCAGAGTGGTTTATCCCACCTGCTAGGTTTAACCACTGCGGTTCTAAAGGGCCCCTCCTTTAGCCAGGAGGATGCACTGCAGTCATCCCCAGCACATCTAGAAGGAGCTGTAAGCCTCGGGTCAGATACCAATGAGGGCTGGGCGGGGAATCTTCTGAAGGTGCGCAGTTTGGAGTTTAGGATCCAGGAGCTTGTTTCACTTCTTAGAGGACCAAATCTGGTTTGTCTGATTTCCCAGACGAGAGACTTTCACCCGCAAAATAGAAACATCCAGGTTGACCTGGACTTCAAGATCTTCCTGCCTCAGTCTCCTGAGTCCTGGGATTATGGTCTTTTGCCACCTTGTGTTCCTTCAAATTCTGTCTCCCTTTTCACAGTGTGGAATGGAGATGCCAAGAAAACCTACGTCCCCCATTTTTGCAAACTTGTGGGACTCAAAAGGCAAAAACAAACAAAATCCCACTAGGTCAAGGGGCTTACGAAGGGAAACCCAGTAAGTTCTCCTTTGTGCCTCCCCGATCTAATTAGGTCCAGAGAGTTTCTTTTTGAGGTCAGGTCACTGGGCAGTCCCCATCAGGAGAGAGTATAAGAGTGTTGGCGAGGAGCAGTGCACTTTCTGGGCAAGGTGGGAGAGGAGGCAGGGGACCAGACAAAAGGTGGCGAGGGTCTAGGCAGGCCTTATGAGAAGATGAGAACCTAGGGAGGAGAGAAATGGTTTCTCTCTGACCCCTGGGGCTTCCGTTCTCACTAGCCATCTTTTTCATACTCCCTGCCATGGCTGGCCTTGGCACTTGCCTCCACCCACCTGCCTCTCTGACTTTCCCAAGGCTGATGTGGTCCCCAAAGAGGACTCCTTGCAGCACAGACTTCCCCGAGGCCCACCAGACCTTGTTGAGGTGAGCTGCCTGCTAAATATAGGCATCGCCTCTGTGTGGTGATACTTCTGAGCAGTTTGCCCCAAAACACACTCTCCCGAGACCCTCATCTCTCCCATCCCCGACACAGACCTGTATCCTCTGCCTCTGGGCTCCTGATATGGTCCTAACCACCAAGCCTCAGTCCTGGCTGAATGATAAACTTCAGCTATGGCTCTGGGACCATTTGGAGGCTATTAGAGTGTGGCCAGAGCAGAGGCAACCTAGCTCAACAAGGGTCCTCTGCAGTGTGAGCCCTGACCCTCCATCCCATGTATCCTCCAAATCCTCCCTGACCCCATATGCCATTTTCTCACACACATGCTTTGCAGAGACCCAGAAATGCTGGAGGAAAAAAAAAATACCATCCCCATCACCAGAGAATTTTAGAACTCCTACAGTATAAGCCCTCCCCTACATTTCAGTATGACAACTCTTTTTGAAGTTTACAGTAAGGGCTGCTAGGCTGAGAGGACAAACAATTTGCCCAGGGTGACACAGTAAAGTCCTTCCCACCACCTACCTGACCGTTCTTTTTTCCGTCTAGTTGATTTCTTCTCCGTCTCACTGACAGTGCTCCCAAGTACCATGTAGTCCTCACCGGATCCTCCAGTGCCCTCCACCAGGCCTGGGCTGCCAGCCCCCATCTCTCTGGCGCTCCCAGCTGAGCCTAGGTTGAGCCTTTGCCCAGCTTCAGAGATGGGGAAGTGCCAGTCAGGGGTCTGTGGGAAGGCAGGATGTTGCTCATTGAAGATGCGCTCCGCCCGGGGCAGGCTATGTGGAGTGGCTGCCAGGCAGGAAGCAGAGAAGTCGGGGTATGCTGCTGTCGCTGGGAAATCTGATTTTTGGTGGAAGGAAAATGGGGTTGGTGGATAATGGGACAGCCCTGAAGCGCTGCTGCCTTCTGAGTGGGGGTTTCGGAGGCAGCCCCAGACAGGGGCTGGGGGGTGGGGGTTCCTCACGCAGCTGTTGGCCACCGGATCCATTTGCTGTCCGCTGCTTGCCTCAGTCCGTTCTAAGGTGTTGCACTGCACTTCTTCTATTCAGAGTTTTGTAATTAAAAAAATTAAACAGTAGAGGAAAATGTTGGATGGAAAATTTACCCTAGGCACCAAAACAAAAATTTTGCCTCCAAGTCCACAAACACGTGGCCAGTAACACACTTGTACATGCCCACACCTGTCTTCCTTTTCCCTGACCCAGGCTGGCTATCGGGATCCCTTGTGCATGTACTTGTGGCCTATAGCACTAAACATTTTGACTGTCCCACCTCTGACCCACCCACACGGACAAACTCTCTTCCCGGGGACCCTGAGTGAATGCCTGCGGAGGGCTGGACCCGGTTGCCCAGACACACTTTTAAATCCTGCGGTGGGGAGAGAGTGACAAATTTCTGAAGTGAAATGTGAGAGTGGAGAGGGAGGGGTCAACCCACTCGCACACGCTCCCCTCCAACCAAAACGGAGCAGGCAACATTATCATCAGAAACCTTATACCCACTTCTAATGGCATTTGCAGACATAGACTTTTAAAGAAACATTGTTTTATTTTTTTTTTTTTTAAGGAGAGAGTATGTGCGTGCATAGGCACACACACACACACACACACACACACACACACACACACACACACACACACACACACCACTCTTTGAGTGCCTCTGGTAACACAATAAAGTTATTTTTATTGCCTTGTTAACAAAATTCCCCAAGTCTTGGATTTAGAAAAAGCCCCCAGAGGAATCCAAAATCTACCAAATGCCAAATTTTGGGGAGCAAAAGGGGAAGTGGGTGCAAAAGTCAAGCTTGGAGAGTGCATTGATTTAGGGATTTGCTACCTCTCCCTGGAGTGACAGAAGGAAGAGGGAGGGGAATTAAAAGCAATTCTCTCTCTCTCTCCCCCCCTCTCTCCCTCTCTCTCTCTCTCTGGTGAGAGTTTTGGCAACCCAGTGGTTTGGTCTGGTGTATAAAGAAAGACGTACTTCAGACCCCCCCAAAAAAAAAAGGAGAGAAGAAAGAAAGAAAAAGAAAAGAAGAAATTTCTCTGTCGAAAGTTCAAAGTGCCTTTCTCACTTCTCAGTAGCAAGAAGAGAGAAAGCACCTGTCTCTTCACCCCGCAGCCACCTTCGAGAACTTCCATGCCAGTTAGCCACACTGCTAAAGAGCAGCCAAATGATTTGTCTCCAAAGCAGAGGCTCTTAAGTCCTCGAAGTCTCTAGGGACTGTTCCCACCTGTTGCCTGTCCACACCACCGGTCTCTCCCTCCTGCTTCCCTTTCTCAACCTCTGGCAGCATCTTTGGAACCCTGGGTATGAAGACAGGAACCCAGGGACCTCCATCCCCTGAGAGTTCACCCCAAAGGGAGTTCCCAAGGGTCTTCCTGGCTTGTGTATGTGAGAGGGTGGTTGGCCCAGGTGCCATTTCACCTTGCTTGTCATTCTACATCAGTGATGCTCAGCCTTCCTCATGCTGCCGGCCTTTAATACAGTTCCTCATGCGGTGACCCCAGCCATAAAATCATTTTTGTTGCTACTTCATGCCTGTACTTTTGCTACTGTTATAAATCATAAGGTAAACATTCATGATTTCTGATAGTCTCAGGTGACCCCTGTGAAAGGGTCATTTGACCTCCAAAGGGGTTGAAACCCATAGATTGAGAACTGCTGGTCCACACTGTGGGAATGCCTCACTAGCTTCTCAATCTCCAGAGGTGTGACATCATTTCCATAGAGATTTCCACTGGCTCAGAGCAGCAGAAAGCCCGTGTGGTGTGAACTCTGTGGGCTGGTCTCAGACACAGGACTCCCAGACAGGGGCAGCGGGTACTAGGTGAATACAGGTCCCCAGTTAATCCCCGTGACAGCACACCTCACCTCTCTGGGCCTCATCAGGCGATTTAGCCCCATACTCACAGGGCAGTGTGTCCTCTCCATGCCCCCATCTGCAGCAGCCCCCTCAACAGCAAGCCCGCTTCTAACCATCTGACATTTCTGGGAATGAAGCATGGAGAGACTGAGAAACTTGTACCAGGCCACGTTGCAAGGAAGCACTGGCTGTACCTGTCAACCTGCCTGGGAATTTTACTTTCCCAAATCACCTTGTTTGTAAGTGGTGTGTGTGTGTGTGTGTGTGTGTGTGTGTGTGTGTGTGTGTGTGTGAGTGTGTGTGTATGTGAGTGTGTGTGTGAGTGTGTGTGATATTTGTGTGTGCATATAAAGTCCAGGTGTCTTTTTTGATTGCTCTATACCTTTTTTAAAAATTCGTTTTTGAGACAGGGTCTCACCTTATAACCCTGGCTGTTCTTAAACTTTTTCTGTAGACCAGGCTGGCCTCAAATGCACAGAGATCTGCCTGTCTCTGCCTCTCTCTCTCTCTCTCTCTCCCTCCCTCTCTCTCTGTTTTTCCTTTTCTTTTTTGAGACAAGGTCTCTCACTGAACCTGGAGCTTACCATTTATTTGGCTAGGCTGGTGGCCAGAAATTCCTTAGAACTGACCCATCTCTGCCCCCATGCCATGGCCTGTACTGGTACCTCAGAGCCCAGATTTTTCCTTTAGTGCTGGGAACCCACATTACACACTGAGCCCTTCTCCCTGACCTGTATTTTGTTTTTGAGAAAGGGTTTCATTATATAGCCCAGGCTAACCTGGAATTCACTTGGTAGCCCAGGCTGGCCTCGAAGTCACAGCCCATCTGTCTCAGCATTCTAAGTGCTGAGATTGGAGTTGTGTGCCCCAGGCTGGGTCACCTGGAATTTTGAATAAAACTGTTTTTGTGAAAGGCAGAGTGGGCAAGAGACGATGGAGGCTCCTATGTCTACTCCTTGTTAACCTGGTGATTCTAAAGGGAGAAGGTGTGGGCAGGAGAAGGCGCAGAGAGGTTTCCATAGGAACAGCCCTTGTGAGGCCATGGTGTTGGAGGGAGCACACAGGAGGGGCAGGCCAGAAGGAAGATGGGGCTGTCAGCTCCTTAGGAAGCCCTGGGGGCCTGACCTGTCAGGCTGTAACAAGATCCCTGTTGGGCTGTCCTTCTCACATCTGGCTCAGGGTCTCCATCCCAGGGAGGCCCCCTTGGCCCTTTGCCCTGGGAAAGGGTGGGCACTGGGTTATGGTGGGGTAGGTGGAGAGGTCAGGAAGGGCATAGGGTGGGTGCACAGCAGGATGCTCTGTGCTGGGAACACAGGACCTGGCACCCCGTGCCCCAGCAGCTGCTGATGTCTGTCAGCTCCCCTGGGGGGCACCACAAGGCCACCACCTCTACATCTTCCTGACAGGCCCCTCTTCTGAGGCCAGGAAAAAATAACAGCAGCCCCCTCCTGCAGCAACCCATTTGTCAGATGAAGGCTGGGCACTGCACCTTTAACCTCCTCAAAGTCAGCAGCTCCCTGTCAAGGCCCTGTGGGGCCAGGGAACAAAGATAGATGGAGGTGACCGCGTTTGCTTGCAGAGAAAGCTCTTGGCTGCAGCCAAGGGGAGTGGCCCAGAAGGGAGGGGCCCTGGCTTCTGGTGTTGCTGGAGGTAGCTGAGAGAGAGAGAGAGAGAGAGAGAGAGAGAGAGAGAGAGAGAGAGAGAGAGAGAGGGAGAGATGACAAAAATCTGGGGAGGTCCCAAGGACCCTGGAGGTCATCCAGCTGGGTGGCACCTGAGCCATTCCTCAGAATGCTGAGAATATCCTCCATTGCTCATGACAAACAGGCACTCCTGGACCAGACAGGCCTGTTTCTGAGCTGGCCACCTCAGCCACCTGTGTCTGGAGATGCTGAAGATCAGTAGGAAGTCCCTATTTAGGGAATCTATTCTTGCCATCCCTGAGCTCTGTGTTTCTCAGTTGTGAAATGACATTGATAGCACTGGCCTCGGAGGGCTGTATGAACGTAAAAGAGCTGATACCTCAGGCAAGTGTAGGCTGGCAGAGAAGGCAAAGGCATATGGAAAGCATGGGCCTCTTCTTTCCTTAACTATGTAGAATCCCCATTAGATCGAGAGATGCCCACCTTAGCCCCCCCTCTCTGTGTGTGTGTGGTGTAAATGTGTGTGCATGTGGAAACCAACCTCTAATGTCATTCCTCAGGGTACCAACTTGTTTTTTGAACCAGGTCTCACTGACCGGAGCTCAGTACTTCAGCTAAGAAGACTGGTCAACAAGCCCCAGGGATCCCTTTGTCCCTTCCTTCCCAGTGGCTGGATGTGGAGCACTCACCGCCACACTCAGCTTTTTACATGGGTTCTGGAGCCAAACTCAATGCTTTGTGCTTGCAAGATAAGCACTGTACCTACTGAGTCATTTCTCCAGCCCACAAATTCCTTCATCTCTGGCTATGCAACACATACAATATAAGCATGGTTTGGGGAATCAGGAGGGTGTGGGTTTGAATCCCAGCTCTGCCATTAATTAGTTGAATGGCACCAAGCAACTCATTTGATCGCATGAGCCTCATTTTTCCTTTCTGTAAAATGGAAATAAATTTCCTCCTTGTTGAGTTTCAAAATGGGGTCACTTATGCAAACTTTTGTGACAGCCCTATACATGATAGTGGCATCTCCTCTTTCACTGTTCTATTGCTGTGAAGAGACACCATGGCCAAGGCAACTCTTATTAAAGAAAGCACTTAATTGGGGACTTCCTTACAGTTTCAGGGAACATGGTGCGGGAGAAGTAGCTGAGAGCTACATCCTGATCCGATGACTGAGAGACAGACTGGGGCTGTCATGGGTTTTTGAGCCTTCAAAGCCTAACCCCAGCGACACACTTTCTCCAACAAGGCCACGCCTCTTAATCCTCTTAATCCTTTCAAACTGTGCCTCTCCCTCATGACCAAGCATCCAAACAGGAGCCCGTGGAAGTCATTCTTATTCAAACCACAATACACCCTATGATAAAACTAAGATTGTTGTTGCCAGATGTAAGGACATGCCAGGTGTAAAATACCAAAGCACCTCATGAGAGGGTGTCAGTGGTGACAGGCAGAGGCGCTGTCCCCACTGTCACCCTAAGCAATGTGAGGAACTCTCCTAATGTTTTAGAGATTGGCTTGGGCCATATGGCAGTTTGATACTGAAAGGAATTTCAGGACTAGCCAGTTTGTGAAGCAGAGTTGGGAGCCATGGGTTTTATTAACAATTTTTTTTTTTTAACTTTAGACTGAAGAGGAAGAAAGTCATACCTGAGAGCACTGGGGGGGTGTGCTTCCCGAGAGAGTGAAAGTAAGACACGCCCGGATGTGGGCACCTGGCTTTTCCAAGAAAGAGTAGACAATGACTGGTCTTAGTCTCTGCCTTAGTTAC